TGAGAGAGGCACTTTATTTTACCCATTTTATGGAGGAGGAAATTGAGGCTTAGAGAGGCGAAGGGACTTGCTAGCAGCTGCTAGCTCAAGTGTCCTCTCAGTGTGGGGCCCCAAAGTCTATACACACTACATTCCTCCCAGGACAGGACAGCGGAGTGGTCAGTGCAAGTGTTTCAGGTTGTGCTATTTATTAACCATATGTACTTGGGCACATTTTTCTACTTTTTTCTTTTTTTAAAATATATTTTTTATTGATTTCAGAGAGGAACGGGGGTGGAGAGGGGAGAGAGAGAGAGAGAGAGAGAGAATCATTGATTGGCTGCCTCCTGCTTACCTCCCACTAGGGATGGAGCCAGCAACCTCAGGCATGTGCCTTAACCGGAATCAAACTGTGACTTCCTGGTTCATAGGTCAATGCTCAACCACTAAACTACACTGGCAAATTTTCTTTCCTTCTTCCTTTTTCCTTCCTTCCTTCCTTCCTTTCTTTCTTCTTTCCTTCCTTCCTTTCTAAAATATCCTGGCATTATGTGAATTTATTTTGGTGTTGTTTTCCCCCCCCACAATTACAGTTTACATTAAGTATTAACCTCTATTAGTTTCAGATGTTGGGCAAATTATTTCACCTTCCTAAGCCTACCCTGTTTCCCCAAAAATAAGACAGTGTCTTATATTAATTTTTGCTCCCAAAGATGCACTAGGTCTTATTTTCATGGGATGTCTTATTTTTCCATGAAGAAGAATACGGTACACATTTATTGTTAAATGAAAATAAAGGAAATGTATTACCTGTATACGGTAGTACGGTAGTTGTCAACACAAACCACACAAACTGTGAATCCTACAGTATCAAGAATGTACTCATTTATTCAATGACAATCATGTCATCATCTTCTGGAACATCACCATAACAATCCAATTCCTGAATTTCCTGGTGAATTTCTTGTGACTCCATATCTTTCAGAATCAGTGGACCAAATCTCTCATGTTCAGCCTAGGGGGGCCCTTATTTTCGGGGGATGCCTTATATTTCACTCAGAAGGAAACCTGTAAGTAGGTCTTATTTTCAGAGGATGTCTTATTTTTGGGGAAACATGGTAGCTTCTAATCTGCAAAATGAGGATAATAACAGCACCTTCCTAACAGGATGGCTCTGAGGGCTAAATGAGAGGATGCCTGCCATAGCACCTGGCCCATGGTATGGGCTCCATTGATACAGATGATTTTCATTATTTCCAGGTTTCTTTCTGAGGGGACTTCTCCATTGAAGTCAGATTGCTTTAGAAGCTTAGAAATCTCCTGGGAAAGCTGGCCTTTCCACAGTCATCTGGGCTATTTTATGTGGACACTGCTTTGACATTTTCCTATGAAGGGGAAAGAGGTGCATTACTTTTACTTTTACTTAGAGACAAGGCAGGGTTTCTTCTGACCTCTGGGAAGTTAAAGACTAAATACCAGATGTCCTAGGGATTCATTTTACCTGGTCTCTGAAACTGGTTCCTGGTTAGCGACGCTCTCAGGCACACTGTGTGCTAACCCAAGAGTGTCCTAAGTGTGGACACGCATAAATAAAAATCATTTATATGCTTGTCCATTCCCTGACATGATGTAGGGAAAAGAGCATGGGTTTTGGGTCCTTGGGGACCTCAGTTTGAATCCTGACTCGGCTACTCACAAACCTATCTTAGTTTCTGTAATTGTGAGTTGGGGAGGATATGGTAATAAAGCTAACAGTTACAGAATGCTTACTATGCCCTAGGCACTATTCCTTTTATATATTAACTCATTCAATTTTTTAAAAAATAAACTGTTTTTAAAGAATTATAGGTTCATAGCCAAAATTGAACTAACTGAAAGTAGAGTTCCCATATGCTCAAAGTCTATGAGGTTCACTCTTGTTGTTGTACAGTCTGTGGATTTGGACAAATGTATAGTATATGACATTATAGTATCAAAGAGAGTTGTTTCACAGCCTAAAAAACCCTCTGTGGGTATTCATCCCTCTTTCCCCCAACCCCTGATCATTTGATTGTCTGTCGTCTTGCTTTTCCAGAATGTCATAGAGTTGGAATGATATAGCCTTTCCAAATTGACTTCTTTCACTTAGTAATATGTATTTGAGGTTTCTCCATGTCTTTTCATGGCCTGATAAGTGCATTTCTTTTTAGTGATGATAAGATTCCATTTTCTGGATATTTATCTATAGTTTATCCATTTAGCAACTGAAGGACATCTTGGCTGCTTATAAGTTTTGGCAAACATCCATGTGCAGATTTTTGTGTGGATATAAGTTTTCAGTTCATTTGGGTAAATAACAAGGACTGGATTGCTGAATCATATGATAAGGGTATATTTAGTTTTATAAGAAACGGCCAAACTGTCTTCCAAAGCGGCGGTACCATTTTGCATTCCCACCAACAATGAATGGAAGTTCCTGTTGATCCACATTCCCACCAGCATTTAGTGTTGTCAATGTTCTGGTTTGGGCCATTCTGATTGGCATGTAGTGGTATCCTTTGTGTTTTAATTTGCAATCCCCTATGAGATATGATGTAGAGCACATGTGTCAAACACAAGGCCCGCGGGCCAAATCCGTCCTGCCAGGCCTTGCAATGTGGCCCGCACCGCACTGTCATCACTTCACTCCGCTGCGTTTCCATCACAATGACAGTTTATGACTGTTCAGTAAACCATTCAGCCCACGATTTAGGCTGGATTTCAGATTTTGGCCCCTTCTCTGATTGAGTTCGACACCCCTAATGTAGAGCATCTTTTCAAATGCTTATTTGCCATCTACATATCTCCTTTGGTGAAGTGTCTGTTCAGGTCTTTGGCCCATTTTAAAACCAGATTGTTTGTTTTCAAATTGTTGAGGAGTTGTTGTTGTTTTTAAGCTTATTGATTTTTAGAGTAAGAGGAAGGGAGAGGGAGAGCACAGCATCCATCGGGTGCCTCCTGCACACACCCCTCCAGGGTTCGAACCACAGCGCAGGCATGTGCTCTTAAACCGGAACTGAAATGGCAACCTCCTGGTGCATGGGACAATGCCCAACCAATTGAGTTACACCAGCCAGGGCTGATGGTTGAGTTTTAAGAGGTTTTTTTTTGTGTATTTTGGCTGAGTCCTTTTTTCAGATGTATCTTTTGCAAATATTTGCCCCCAATCTGTGGCTTGTCTTCTCATTCTTTCGAAATTATCTTTTGCAGAGAAGCGTTTAATTTTAATGAAGTCCTGCTTATATAAATTCTTTAAGAATCACGCCTTTGGCATTGCATGTAAAAATTCATCACCATACCCAAGGTCATTCAGATTTCTTCCTATGTTACCTTGTGGCAGTTTTAGTTTTGTGTTTTGCATTTAGATCTATGATCTATTTTATTTATTTATTTATTTATTTATTTATTTTGAAGAACGTAAGGTGTGTATCTAGATTCATATTTTTGCCTGTGGGTGTCTAGTTTTTCTAGCATCATTTGTTGAAAAGACCATTTCAACAAATGGCCTTTTTTTGGTTATTGTTGAAAAGACTAAACTCATTTATTTTCCAAACAAACTTTGAGGCAGGCACTGTTCTTAGCTCCATTTTTTTCAGATATAAAGGTTTTATAAATCACCCAGGGAACACACAGCTAGGACTTGGACAGAGCTTGGATTTGAACTAGCAACCTGGTCCCAGAGTCCATGCACTCGATCCCTAGCTACAACAATAATGTCCCCCTCGTAGGCTTGTTGTGAGGAATAGAGATGGTGTCTAGCACATAGTAGGTGCTCAGTAGTGATAGTCATTGTTCTACCTAGCCTTCAGGGTCCCACTCAAATGTCAAGTCTTCAAAGCAGCTTTCTTTCCCCCCCCCCCCCCCCCAATCCCATGTGAGCCCCCTGGAGAGAGACTCCATGTCTTATTTCTCTGTGTCCTCCAAAGCACCTGATGGGGCACTTGGCACTTAGCGGCTCTCAGTCAATGCTTGTTGAGTTTGGTTGCATGTTCTTCTTTTATCTACAGCACATATCCCGGGTGTGATCTATTCCTCAGGATCTCCCAGCTCTTATTCAGTTCCTTGCTCCTGAGCCCTCTCCCTCCGGCCTTCCTGGGTCTGTCAGGTGGGGTCGCCTCTGTCTGGAGCAGTTCCTGGTTGGGCAGTCTATGGAGGCAACTGCCCTTGTCTGCTACACCCTTTTTCTTGAACTGCTCTTCTCACACTCTGGGGTACCCCACTCTCCTATGGACACTGTCCTCTAGACGTGTCTTCATCTCTTCTCCTTTCTTCTCTCTCGTCTCTCTTTCCAAACTCAAGACAGCACCTGCCTTGGAGGCCCGGCCCAGGAGGCCTTTCCCAGGAAGCCTGAAGTTCCTTCTCCCTGGGCACAGCAGCTCTCCTGACATTTACAGAACAGGGGAGACTCAGGGACAGACCTCACTCACAGAGCTTCTGAAAGGGGTTCCTCTTGGCAGGAGGGAGTGAGTGCCGCTTATGGCTGTGTCCCCTGGGCCTCAGCACCCCTCCGCCCCCCCGCAGCTCCCTCTGAGGCAGGCTCTTTCAGACCAAGCCACCAGACAGACACCTGTGCCCACCTCGGGGAGGACATTCTGCCAGTCCCACCTTGGACATGACAGGCAGTGTCTGCTTTGAACGGAGCCATCTGGCACCATGGAGCAGCGCCCTGTCTGCCTCTGCAGAGCGGCCCTGGGAGGATGTAGCCAGAGACACTCTGCTGCGTCCTCTATGCAGCACGCTCCTGGGCAGCACCTTCTCGGACACAGCGGAGTCCAGTGCCCGGAACCGGTCCTATGCATTCCGTATGCCTCTGTGCCTGCCCTGGGGATGGATGCCCAGCAGCCTACGTGCCCTGTGCAGACCGGACCTCAGACCAGGCCTCTCAGCACAAACAGAGGTCCCCGGGGCGGTGAGGGCGCTCCGTGGAGGCGGTGAGGGCGCTCCGTGGCCGCTCTGGAGGCGCGCCCAGGCGCTGCCCGGAAGGCCGGGCATTTATCCCCGGAGCCGCCAGCAGGGAGCTCCCTCTCGGCTCGGCTCGCGCGGCCGCGGGGGGCGGCGCTGGGCTGCGCCGCGCTGCGCTCCAGCCCGGACCGGGCCGGGCCGCTGGATGCCGCGTCTCCGCTGCTGCTGCCCGCCGGGCCGGCTCCGGCGGCCGGTGAGTGCGGGGCGGCGGGGCGGCCGCTCGGGGGGCCCGGCGGGGCGGCGGGCGGGCTCGGGCCGGCCGGGCGGGCGGGCGGCGGGGCCCGCCGGCTCCGCTCCCCCCTCCCGTGTCCCCTGGAAGCGGCGGCCCGGACTCCCGGCTCCGGCCTCGCTCTGCGGCCGCGCCGCCGGCGGAACTGGGCGCCCGGGGGTGGGGGCGATCGGGAGGGGCGGGGAGGGCGAGCTCCGGCCCCCCTCGCCTGCTGGGGTGGGGGTGGGGGTGGGGGGCGGAGGCGGGGAGGCAGGGCAGGGGGGTGGCTTTCAGTTTGGGGGATCTGGGGCTCGGGGGGGGGGTGGGGGGGAGGAGCCCCCGTGGCCCTAAGCTGCGGGGTGGAGGCTGCAGCTCGGGGATGGGGGCTCCTCGGAGCCCAGGCCCGGGTCCCCCGGACAGACCGACCCGGCGCGGCTCTGGGAGGCGGCCGGGAAGGCGAGCACCTCCGCCGCCGAGCCCTTTATCCCTCCCCGCGGCCTGCACCCTTTCCCTGCCGGGCCGGCCCGGGCCGCTCCCGGAGGAGCAGCTGCCAGACAGCTGGCCAAACAATGGAGACCCCGCTTGCTTCCCCGGGCCCCCTCCTCCGGGGGCAGAGCATGGGGGTGGCTGGGCGCACGGGAGGCTTTGGGGGTTCAGGCGGTGCTGGCTGTGCCCCGCGCCTGGCTGCTCACCTCAGCTCTTCTGCGTAGGGGTGGGGTGTGTGTGTGTGGGGGTAGGTCGGACAACCTGCCCCAGGCCTCCGGGAGAGGCTGCCCGCCGCCCCGCCCTGCTAACCTGTCACGCCAGTTGTCTCCACAATGGGAAGGGGTGGTGGGGAGGTTAGCTGTCCCCCACCCGCGCTGGGGGTTGCTGCTGGGTACCAAGCCCGGTGACGAAGGAGTGTGGGGCACGCTCCCGGCTGAGATAAGGCCTACCGGGGCACACCACGCACGGGGGGGCTTTGTGGTGGGGGTGGGGGGTGGGGGTGTCACCCTGTGGCAAGGCACATGTGCCCTGCTGATTAGTTGGAAAGACTGCAGCCAGGATGAGCTGGGGGGTGGGGGGTGGGGTGCAGGCACCCAGGTTTAGCGGTGCTGCTTTTGCCTGGCTTAGCCTGTGTTTGACAGGGTCCTCATGGTTTGTGTTTGTGTAGGGAGATGTGTTTGTGTAGGAATGATGCTTCCCTGGGAGGAGCTCCCTGCCTAGGGCCTCCCTGCCCTCTGAGGGTCCCCCAGCTTAGGGCCTCCCTGCCCTCTGAGGGCCCCCCAGGCGTCTGGAATTGGATCCTCACCCCCATTCACCTTGCCAATGGTTTGGGCTGGCTTTCGAGGTTTTGTTTTATCTTTCGAGTGCCTGGCATGTCTGTGGTTGAGGAGGCCTCGTCCCCCTGAGCTCTTACATCTGCGTTGGGCCATGCTGGGAGGGAGGAAACACATCCAGGCAATGAAGAGCAAGATCACCTCAGCAACTCAGTGGCTCTAGGTTCAAGCTCCCTTTTTTGTGTCCTGATCTGGTCTGGAGTCCTTTTTGTGGGGTGGGGGGGGGGGGTGGGGGGGTGATGCGGGAAGGAGCAAGTAAGTATCCTGTTGTCATGGCAATGGGCCCGGCCTGGCCTAACGGTTCTCCTCCCTTTTGGTTCAGGGGCCGCTTTCTATACGGGGATATTGAAAGTTGCTCTCCCGAGGTCTCCGGCTTCCTGGCAGACCTCACTGGCGCTTTGTCAATGGCCTGCCACCTCCCCAGCTTCCCCTCTGATGAGGTCTTTCCAGGAAACATCCTCCTGTTTGCGGGACATGACTGGTTATATATAGCCTTGGGTGGAGGTACGCTTGGCCATTTGGGGTGGGGGACAGTGGAGTTGGGGCCTCAATTCCAGGAAGGCAGCAGGGGGAAGCTATTGTGTCGGGGGCTTCGGGGACCGAGAAGGGTTGCGGGTGGGGGCGGGAGGGATAGCATGCTGGTGGGCACTTCCTTTGGGAGCTTTGAACTTTGCACAGTGGATGACCTGGTGCCTGGCAGCTCCGATCATCTGGTTTGTTTACTTTTTCCCAGTCTGGCTCAGGTGCCAGGGCGTGTGCCTGAGGGCTTCCTCCCATGCCCCCGGCTCTCCTCAGCCGCCCTCTCTCGGAGAGTGCCTTTCCTGGCTCCTGCCTGGCCCCTCAGCAAACCCCCTGGCAGTCTGAGCGGCCAGCCTGCTGCCTGGAGCTCCCCTTCGCTGGCCCAGCTTGACACTAGCTCACTGAGAGGTGTATGTACCTTCAGAAGTTGGGCCTGAAAACTCTGAGGTCCCCCACAGGCAGCTACCTGGAGGCAGAGAGGGCGGGGCAGAGCCGGAGTTCCTCGGAAAGGGAGAATCCACCCTCCTCGGGTGGAGCAGGGAGTTGTTGGAACTGAGGGAGGCTCGATCCCCACCTGGTGTGTCACAGGTCTCCAGGGCCGCGTGCTGTTCCTGCCCCTTCAAACCAAAGGTCTGTCCCCAGCCAGACCTCCCTCTCCGGCATGGACACCAGAGGCCGGAGCCAGAGCAGCCATGTGAGCAGGGTCCTGTCGGGGGCCGGGGCCCCAGTCCGGTGCGGTCCCAGGCCTCTCCCGGGTTGGTGGGGAATGCTGAGGTTGTCGAAAGGTTTGAGGGGATCAGAGGCCCAGTCCGCTCTGGGCTGTGATTGACAGGTTCCCTCAGGACTTGGGTTGGGGGCTTCATGGAGCTTTTACGTTCTGCTTTGGGTCCGGCTCCCGGGTGCTTTAAGAGCTGCTCACTGCCCCTCATCCCTCATCACCATTTTCTTTTCTTTCTTTCCCCCTCCCCCTTCCCCCCACCCCCATTTTCTGAGGTGGACTGAATTAGAGGGTAGAGAGGTGCAGTGGTAGGAGCTGGATTGGGAGGGTGGGGAGCAATCCTGGAAAGCCCCTCTCCTCCTACTTTTCTGCCCTTTCTCTGGAGATAGGAATTGTTTGGCTAATAAATTACCCACATTCCTTTGACATTTCAAAAAGCTCAGACTCAGGCGGCAGTGTAAGCTGCGGACTGATGATTTTACAGGGCCCGAGGCCTTTTCTCTTTGCCAAGTCCTTTTATCGCCACTTACAAGGGATTGTTTTTGTTTTTTAATTTTAAATTTTTTTTTATTATTCTCTGATATTCAGAGATATTGGATGAAGGGCCCAAGGTCACACGACAAGTCAGAGGCAGACCAGGACTAGAACCTGCCATTGGTGGCTGAGCAGAATACCTCTCCAGCGAAGGGCCAGGTCTGACCTCCCAGGCCATGGACATTTTATGGCTGAAAGAGCTGAGGCCCAGAGAGGGGATGGGACTTGCTGAAGGTCACGCAGAAGGTGGGGTGGGGATGGTTGTGTTTACTGAGCTCAGCACCCAGCAGGCTGCGGCAGGCTCCCCGTGAAGCAGGGGAGTTTCACCTGCAGGAGCAGCCCAGGACCTGGCACCCGGCGCTGCTGGCACCTCTCCCGCTCACCGGCCCTGCTGCCTGCCAGTGCTTAGGGGCTGCTGGTGCCCGGAGCAGGGCAGGGAGCGGCGGGCAGCAGGCAGGGCCGGGAGCCGGGAGCCGGGAGCCGGGAGCCGGCGGGCGGGCCGGCTGATGTCATGTGAGAAGCGTGCAGGCGGCTGAGGGAGCACACCTGGGGCCAGGGAGCTCCATGTGACCGGGCGGTGAGTCACGGGCTCTGCGGAGCTCAGCACAACCTCCGTCCTCCTGCGCCGCCGGGCAGGGCTGCCCAGGTGCCCTCGGACCCCTCTGGACCCCACTGGCCGCCTCCGCAGCCCTGGGCCCTCCGTGGGCCAGCGCAGAGAGACAGGCCTGGGGCTGTAGGAAATGGCCACTCAGGGAGGTCAGAGGCCACGCGAAAGAGGCCGGCTCTCTTGGGAAAGCATTTCCTTTGTGTTTATTTATGAGTGTGGTCTGGAGAGGGGAAGGGGGGACTGACCCTGGTCCACCCCCAGCAGCCAAGCCCGGGGGCCCTGGTCCTGGGATTCTAACGCTGTAGTTTCCACTTCCTGGGGTTTCTGCTTGGCCAGCTGCGGGGTGACCCATTTAAGTCTGTCCCCACTTAAAGCCACAAGGCACCAGGGCCATCTATTTTAACCGAGTCCTCCACATCCCTGACATTTTTTTCAAGGCACGAGAGGGCAGTTCTTAAACTTACCCATTGCAAATCTTGTTTACAGCTTTCCTGCTGAGTTGGTTGCTGACTGCTTGGTCAGACCTTTCTTTTTTCTTTTTTGTCATTAAAAAAAGATCGTTACAATCACAAAAGTATCATGCTGGAAAAAAAAAAGGTTTAATGCAGGACAGCCAGTGTTAACCCTCTCTGCCACTACTCAGACAAAACCTCCGGTGAATTTTTGTCATGGATCTTTCCAGACTATTTCAAAAGCTTATTATATATATATATTTTATATATTATATATATTTATAGGTTAAGATCTTATATGTTATAGAAAATGTAATTTTATATAAATATTTAAAATATTTTTTTTCTGTAAGAAAAAAGAACATGCACAAAAGTAGAAGAAAAATCATATATACTCCTATCTAAAGTCTTAGATTTAAATACACACACCTACCAGCTAAATGTTCTTATTGTAAAAAATTAAAACAATACAGATAACACACGAGTCTGTTTTGACTCTTCTGAAACCCCTGTCTCTTCCACAGAGCATACATTTTTCTATGAATATGCAAATATTATACATAATGAAAATTTTATACATATGCACACATATACATAATTTAAAAAAAATTTGTAAAAATTATATACTATTTGGCAACTTTCTTTTTTCACTTAATAATATACTATAAAAGCCTTCTAGGTCAGCATATACAAATCGACCTCGTTCTTTTAATAACTGCCAGTTCTATAATTTAGCTATTCTTCCAGAGCTGTTCATTTGTATTGACAGCATTTTGCTATTATAAACAGTGTTGCAAAGATAAGCCATGTTAATTGCGTGAATATATCTATAGATG